GGCCAATACTCCTACACGATAACGCTCGCTCGCACGTATCACAATTCACGATTCGGAAGATACACGAATTGGGTTATGAAACATTAAAACACCCTCCTTATTCCCCCGACTTATCCCCTACAGATTACCATTTTCTTAAACATTTCGATAACTTTTTGCGAGAAAAATCTTCCGCGATAAAGAGGATGCTGTATATACCTTCGTGGAATTTATTAATTCTAGAACACCTGATTTTTATTGTAATGGAATAGGAACTCTTGCAAAACGTTGGAAAAAGTGTTTAGAATCTAATGGAAATTATTTCGATTAAATAAATTGCAAAACTATGTGTCTTTAAATCTCATGTACAGAAACCGCAATTTATTTCCGGACAACCTAATATTTTTGAATTCTACAATTTCAATTAATATTCGAAATATCCACAATCAAAATATGTATAATACAAATGCTCTTAAATCGTGTCGAGAGGAAAATCGAAGATCACACTCGTCGATCAGATACCTATTATATTTATGCATGAGGGGTGCGAAGGACATCAAGATGAATCATGAAACGTAAAGCCGTCAGAATGTATCGATTTCTCTCAAAGTGTCAACTGCACATTCAATTAGATGCATATAACCATTGCCACGATTCCTCGCCGATAGTCGCAGCTGTGCCGGGAACAGTTGTGCTTTTGTTTGAGATTAATCCAATCAGCTCCCTATGCACCGTGGAACAAGGACATTTTTGTGTGCTATTTTTCTTTATTTTCATCAACCTTCACGATTAAACGTAGCGTTAAAGTTTCGATTCGTAGAAAATACTAACACGATTGTTTTACAGTGGTGAAGTAATGCGTGTAATTAGGTTAAAGACGAGGGTACAGTTCAAAATGATCTAGTGTATTATAATGGTATCAACACTTTTACTTCTTTTCTCCTTCGTCTGAATCTTATTACTTACAGTACTTCCATACAACGTTTTCTTAAAAAATATGTACACCTACATACAAAAACAATTGCAGTAATAATTACAAGAAAGATTAGTGATTATCATGGGTTTAGCGTTATGTATAATCTGTAAAGCGCTGTCCTATACATTTTTCTCGAAAACTACTCGAGCGAATTTTTTGTTAATTCGTTCAGAAATGAATCGACTATAATTTGATCGGATAATTTTAGTTCTGAGCGTTTAAAGAAACAACAAATACGAAGTTTGTTGGAACCGGTACTAAAACTTATACAGTGCTTGGACAGGCAAAATCATTGATTCAAATGTGAGTCAATCGGGTGAGAAAAGTGTGAAAAGAAAATATTCATTGTCAGTACTGAGAAAAAGAAATGGAAATATAGATAGTTTTTAAATATTCTACTTCGAAGGTGGAAGATCAAGTATCAGAGATTTTTGGAACCCTTAAATATTGTTTGAAGCTTTTATGATACTGTTAAATCTTGAAATTTTCAGAAATTTTTAAATTTTAGAGGGATTCTAAAATTTCTGAAACCTCCAAGAACCCTTGAGGTTTTCAAAGTTGTTAAAGATCCTCGAGATCTTCCAAATCCCCAACATTTCAAAATTTGTATTTGGTGAATTCGGACATTTCAAAGGCAAATTATCACAATGTAGATTCTCTCTCTATTCTTCCTTTCTTTCAAAGGAGGCTACTTTGCAGTATAATCACAATAACAGTTTAATAATACGTGTTAACGCAGCTTCCCGCGCTTCTTGATGGTTGGAAGGTCGGGTTGGCGTTGGTAATTATTACACGTGTATGTGCCAACTACTTATTGTCGCGATGGTGATCGCGCTTTATTTGTGATGTCGATTATTGCGGACTGGACCGCACTGGTGTATCAAGAATGTCGAGTATCGCGTGTTAGAGCGCTCAAAGTGGTGTCGATTGTTTCTAAGTATATTAGAATCTGCCCGAATGTCGTGAACTGGCTGTATATATCTACTTTCGCCAAAATGGGGAGTTTACCTTGTTGGCAAATCATGGAGCCGCTCTCCTAGGCCCTCGTGCACTCCCCCGTGGTCCGCAGAGCAGGGCGTAGGCAGAGAGGGAGAGACGGTCCCAAAACGGGGGTGTCAGCCCCGAGTGGCGATCTTGCCGAAACGTCGACTTTACGGGTTTATGGCATGTTTACCGTTACTGAGCGCGCAGAGGCAAGTACCGGCTTACCATGTGGCCCGCAGAAGTGGAGAAGTTCCGCGGCCATCAGGTAATAAGCCGGATTTGCCCTCTGGCTTGAATAGGCTATTGTTATCAAAAAACTTGTAGAAAAACTTCTCAAAAGTAACGTCGCTTGGAATCCGTGCCATAAACCCCTGTTGGTTAAACAATATCCATTTCCTTAATTTCACAAATCCCTCCCAAATCTTCATCAACCACAAACTCGCCAATCCCCGCAACAGTCAACTACAAACCAACAAAATGAAAGTCATAACGCAGCAACAAGAAGGAATGCGAAATAATGCTAACTATAATGAATGGTTCTCTTGGGAAACCTTCAATATGGAGAAATACGAGGCGGCTGGCAGAGTTTCTTCTCGTTCGAAGGTCAACAGAAACCGTGAACGAGATCGTTGTTACTGGACTCTGAAACGGCACTCTGTTAGACGTTTCAGTCGTTAAATCCTCGAAGGAAAGAATCGTGCGGAATGAAACAGAAGCTGCTCGAGCCAGGAATGAGACGGATGTAATAAAATCGTCGTGATATTACGTGATAACCACAGACCAAGATTCCATTCATTCGACTCGACACGTGACCCCATACCGATTCTCCCTCCCTCGTTCGGTTTGGGAACAAAAGAAGGAAAACGTTCTCTCGTTACGTGAGATTCTCAAGTCGTGAAGATCGTTTCAGCAACTTTGAAAATTTCGTCTCGCTTCTTGAACCACGTTGACGGAACATTTCACTGCTGGTAATCTTCCACGTGCGCCGTATTCAACTTGCTATTTTCATTCTAACCGCTGGAAGGTGAACAAATTTTCGCGAGATTTCTATTTTCTTGGGCGATAGTTCCAACTTCGTGAGATGTGCACTGAGAAATTTTAGTGGAAAGGAACAGAGTGTGATACTTTTGATTATTTTGCAAAAATACACTGAAGAATTTGGTATGATCTGCAGAATAGCTAAAGGTATTTTTATAAAAATAAGATAAATATTGTGGTGGGTAAAAGAGTCGGTGAAAGTGTTATATTCCATTAGAATTGAAAGGTGAATTTTGTGAAATATAAATATTCCAAGCTTCAACCCTTTCAAAGCTGAGAAATTTTTTTTAAGTTACACTTGGGAATGAATGTTTCGAGAGAGAAAAATTTCACAAAGGAACATCTCGAAACGATAATCACCGATATTCTTGAAACTCTGACATAAAATCTTCACATAGTAATCGAAGTGAACCAAAGTATTGTCAAATATTCTATTCCACTAAATCGAAGCTTCAACCCTTTGAAACCTCAAAAATTTAACTTTAACTTACACTTGAGAATGAGTGTTTCGAGAGAAAAAATTTCACCAACAAAGAAACATCCCAAAGTAATAATCACTTAAAATCTTCACACAGGAATCAAAATCAACCAAAGTATTGTCAAATACTGTATTCAACCCTTTGAAACCTCAGAAATTTTCCTTAAAAATAAATATTTTGAATACCAAAAAATGTCACTAATAATACCCACAATAAAATTTCACTAAAAATAAAAAATTTCAAGCGCAATTGCGGACTGGACCGCACTGGTGTATCAAGAATGTCGAGTATCGCGTGTTAGAGCGATCAAAGTGGCGTCGATTGTTTCTATGTATCTTAGAATCTGCCCAAATGTCGTGAACTGGCTGTATATGTCTCTATTCGCCAAAATGGGGAGTTTACCTTGTTGGCAAATCATGGGCCTTTCACCCCCTAGAGCCGCCCTCCTAGGCCCTCGTGCACTCCCCCATAGTCCGCGGAGTAGGGCGTAGGCAGAGAGTGGGGGAGACGGTCCCAAACGGGGGTGTCAGCCCCGAGTGGCGATCTTGCCGAAACGTCGACTTTACGGGTTTATGGCATGTTTACCGCTACTGAGCGCGCAGAGGCAAGTACCGGCTTACCATGTGGCCCGCAGAAGTGAAGAATTTCCGCGGCCATCAGGTAATAAGCCGGATTTGCCCTCTGACTTGAATAGGCTGTTGTTATCAAAAAACTTCTCAAAAGTAACGTCGCTTGGAATCCGTGCCATAAACCCCTGTTGGTTAAACAATAAGATTTAGAAAAATAAAAGGGTAGCGTATTACAATGTATGCATTAAGAACGCATTCTCTTACGTATCTCGTCCACCTTTAAGGAGAGAAGACTTAGCTCGTTGTGGATTAGCTCAATCACTCTGAACGCACATTTCTCCATCTTGAAAATGATTAATAGTTCACGTCCACGAGACGACGGAAATCACTTTTCAAAGAGATTGAGCTGCACATCCGTTTACGTAGATGACTTCATTACAAGCACTCGATATTTGAGTCTTCTGCGATAGTATCCATTGAGTAATTACCATCTTCGTGAAACATTCCTTTTCAATATGAATTTAAACAATGAAATTTTGCAATTTTAGGACAAAAATTGTAACTTGCAAATAGTAGGTGTACATGTACTTTCTCTCTACTTGTATTAAATAAATATTTACAATTACTTCTTTAAAAATAAAAATCACTGTAGCTACAGCTGTTGTTTTAACTCGAAGCTTTTTGAAAATTTTAAAATCGTACTTTCCTCAAATAAATCACAAACATGGCTCATTTTTTACCTGTCTCCAAGTGAATTCTGTTACGTATACCTATACATACGTATACTTTGGAATATAAATTACGAAACAAGAATATTCTTCGATACATTTTGTGTCTTTCAAAATAAAAACCTCCTTTACGTAAATCAGTAAAAAAAAAAGAACGTCCTTTAAATGCACCCCGTAGTGCAAATAAATGCTTTCATATTTTACACGGAACGATACTGACTAAACGATGTTATATTTTTTTTCACAGATGACAAGACGCCAACACCCATATCCAGCAATGAAATTTACACCGACAGTCGACACCGCGAGCGCAGGTCTTTAACTGAAAAAAAAGCGCCAGACGAAGACTACGAGCAGTACATGAAACAGAACGAGAAGCGTCAACAGTTTGTACGAAACGACAACAGATACGATAGGTGATAAAGCATTTCTTTTTAAGTTGTTTCTTTGATTGGTCGTTAGCTGGTAAGCCTTTGAAGCTTTAACATTCTGTGGGATTTAAACTTGATTTGATGCAACACGTGGGAGAGATAAATGGAAGGCTGTCTTACGAACACTTGATAGCGATGGATGACTGTGAGAAAACAGAATTTTTATTAGAATAATTTGATAAATAAACAGACTTTTCTTTAGTATTTATAAAACTTGAAATTTCGTGCAAAAATTAGTAACGACGCGTGACTTTAATAAAACAAACTTTCTTCCCGCTTCATTTGGGTAATAAATCTCGTATTATTCTTTGATAGTAAAATTAGTAAGTACTGAAATTTGAAATTTTAGCTGGATATTCTGTTTACAAACTTTTTTTTGGGGGTGTGATATGTAACGTTTGGTAGAAAAATTGAGGGTGAGATTCGTATAATACGACGCAAAAATTGCAACAGTGTTTATATAACATAGTAAGTGCATAAATTTACATTTTCACAGTGTAGCAAAGTTCCCGTAATTGACGATGGTAATTGTTTCATGGTGTGCGTACTGTAAGGAACCAACCGTGTTCATAAGCAAGATTTATCGATACAATAATGAAATATAGGACCACCGCCCTTTTGGGGAAACTATTGGAAGAATGAAAATTAGAAAATAAATGTACAAAATGTCAGTAACTTATGTCGCTAACTGTTTCTTTTACTTCGCGTAAAATATGTAGTGATAAAACATTTTCAATTTTTATATTTGTTTATTTTAAAGTGATATGAAAAATATTTTACTGTTATATCTTAAATATTTGTTTTACATTACGTATAATAAACCCTTACGTCTTTTATAAATATGCAAATATGCTCATATACAATATAACCTACAGTGACTCTTACTTATATTCGGACACTCTCTAGAACAGTATAACTTTTTCTAAATTGGATCAAACGACTTGAGTTTTTTTGAGAAGTTAGAAGGATTAGTGTGCTGATGATAGAAAATATTGCAATTTGTAAAGGTCACTGTTTACAACTCTTTCACCCGAGCTTCTAACGAAAATTTAAAACATACGTTTTGTCAGATTTATGTCAATTACACGCATGCTGAAAATTTCATCGAAATCGGTAGATGGAGAAACAAGCGACAGGCATCGAAAGATGTAGGAATCTTCAGATTTATTGCAATTACAGGCCGAACGTCGTGAAATAGTGCGATTTTCACAATCTTCAACGATTTGTAGCCCGTAGTAACATTAACCGATTTCGATGAAATTTTCAGCATGCGTATAATTGGCATAAATCTGGCAAAACGTATTTTTTAAATTTTCATTACGGGCTCGGATAAAAAAGTTGTCGAATGTGACCCTTACAATTTTTTCAAGAAATTTTATACGCGTCATCTAGTATACTAATCCTTCTAACTTCTCAAAAAAACTCAAGTCGTTAAGTCCAATTTTAGAAAAAGTTATACTGTTCTAAAGAGTGTCCGAATATTAGTAAGTCACCGTATGTAGTATCATGATACTAAACGGTATAATATTGAGAAAATAGAACGAAGAAGTTGACAGAAGGGACGTTCCATCGAAGATCATGGATAACGTGCAAACATTTCTCGTATCCACTGTACATTGATAGATCGTTCTAGACAATAACAAACAAATTAGAACGTATGAAGTATTTCAATATCTCAGAAAGCACATTTCACGCGTAACAACCGACCGAGCTAACAAATAGTCAATTAAGGATACGTTTGAATGAAGCATCTGATATGACAGTAAGTTATCATCAAGGAACAGTTACTAAATGAGTACTTTCAACGCAAGCAGAGACTGATTATCGCATTAATCCTTGCCTGTTTGCGTCACGAAGAGAAATCATACATCATGTGGTCTCGCGGACTTTTTGGTGGGCAATACTTTGTTCATCAGTTGGACTAACGAGAAAAAAATTGCTTGCTTTTTCTTCAAACGAACTTTCTCGACTTTCTCGAGAAGTATAAGGTATGGAATAGTACGAAGAACATGGCGGCATGACCTCGTCTTGATTTAAAATCAAATCCGTATTGTTAAAGGTTAAGTTTATGTCTCTGTTAAAGGTTTATTGAATATGTTGAATTGTTAAAATTGATAAAAGTGCGAAGTATTGAACAATTAGAAAACGACGGAAGGGGCAAGACTTGTTGATTATGGTAATGTTAGAATGTATTGTTTGAAAGAAAATTATGAAAATTTTTCGAATGCGTCAGAACGTTTACAGCCTTTCATTTAATCACTTAAAACACCAAGCTAAATTTAATTTGAAAGTGTGGCGGGTACGTCGTCGTCAACAAACCCTTACCGAACGTCGTTCTATTCTTCCACGCGAACTCTTTTCCAACTGCTTCAGATTTTAGTTTCCGTCCTTTTGTCTCTCCCCGGGTTAAGACTTGCCTTCGTCCTCGAGTAGCCTAAGAAGCGCACATGTGGCATTCAGATTCGCACGAGGATGAACGGCCCCGCTTTCTACGAATTTTCCGCTTCTATCTTTATCTATCGCTACTCCTGTCTCCCTGTCCTAACAATATAAAAACCCAGTACGCCTACACCTCGAGACAGTTTTTCCTTTACCGACCATCGCGACGAACCGCTGCCGCCGGGACAATTAACAAAGTAAACGATTGTATTTTCTGGACCAATTGTACGCCGACCATACACTTATACTTTAATAAATTGAGGTGAAAACAGTGTAACGACGTTCCTCACCCACCTCAAAAGTTTGAAATCTTTCTTTCCGCAAGCGTAATAAAAGCATCGATACACTTCTACACTTCAGAGATTGCTCCCTGCTTAACAGAAATTCCATGACACTAAATCGTCGTTAAAAAGCAATCTCCAATTATAAGGTAGTCAGTGATTTTATCTTATTACACCGTCCATCGTGAAAGATAACGATAACTTAAATTACCTTCAGCCTGATATTTAACTTACTTTTCATTTTCAAAAATTGTTTAAACAAAGCAACATGCACTTTGGAATAATTACTTTCAAGTATTCATCGGGCCTTTTTGAATGTAAGAAATGCGAACGACCCGTTTAGGCAGCTCGCAGTAAATCACGCTAAACTGCAATGACTCGGCTCGTGTTCGATGCAGCTACAATATCCCAGTTCTCACGTGTCAAAAGCTTAAAGAGGGCCATTTAAAATGTTGCAGATACTTCTTTGTAGAACGGAGACAAAATGAACCGAGCGAGGAATACAACCAAGACTCGGAAATGGAATTGGATCCCTCCGTGGCCTTGAGATCAGGTAGAGCCTCGCGAGGTGAATATTTCATCGAGATCATGGTGGCGGCCGATGCGGAGATGGTGAGGTACCATGGCAAGAATTTGTTCAGCTACATTATGGTCCTGATGAGCACGGTAAGAATCTTGTTCCAGGTTCCTCCTGTTCTTCACTGTACTTACAAGGGTGAACTGTATTGGAATTATTTGACATTTTATTTAGCACAGATTGATTCGAAGTAATTGTAGTTAGAGCAATCCTACGCTTCTTCAAATTCCACTGGGTATGACATTTTTTATTAAAAATGCTTATTAATAGAATGGGTCCAAAAGCGGATAAAATCTTCGATTTATTTCTTATTGTACAAAATTAAGAATATGATCACTTTTATTAGGTGATTCCATTTAATTTCTATAAAGTTTATATAAATTAGTGATAGACATTGCAAGGAATCTTCGTGAAAGAAAAAATTATTATAAACTTCTGTAATTAATCCTAGAATACTACCATTAATTTTTGTCACATTAATGATAACATGGAGCACAATTTAGTAAAAATAATATTGGTAGATTGTAAAATTGTATATTTCTGGTTCAAAACAAATTAATAAGTACACATTTATTGAATTTAATGATATTTTCAAAGTGAAAATATAAAAAGAAAAGCATATACAGTAAATTCTCTACAAGTGTCAGTCAGTTTGGATTCTACAAGTGTCAGTATAGATGGGAAAAATCCTTTTTTTCACCTGAAATTTGTTTTAACATGTTGGTGAGATTTTTCTGATGAAAATGATATCAAACACGGTATAATTTGAACAAAATTTACTTATTAATACTTATTGGCAACCAAGCAATTTAAATATCAACTTTTTTAATTTTACGTTTTTTTATCCCGAAATTTTTCTTAACATATTGATGAGATTTTTCTGATGAAAATGACATCAAACACGACATTATTTGAACAACATTTACTTATTAACACGTTCACTGTCTGGCGTGACAAAATTTCGGGATAAAAAAACGTAAAATTAAAAAAGTTGGTATTTAAATCGCTTGGTTGCCTCGACTCACGTTTCATCCTTATCTTTTATTCGCTGTCCTTGTCTACGTTCGGCAAACTACAAAGGCGGGCGCGAGTCTCGAAAACGTAGTCCCTGACTCTACAAGTGTCCGGTTTAGCTTCGTTGCGACTGACACTTGTGGAGAATTTACTGTACTATCTAGGGCACTGTATTCTCTATGTTAGTATTCCAGGATTAAAAGCACTAAACTCTTTCCTATAAAATTCCACGGATAAGAAAGCCTTCCTCAACTAAACTTAAAAAAAAAAAACAAACAAGAAACTAAAATTTACAAAATTAGCTGGATATTTTTACAGAGGTAGAAATGTTTGTCTTGTGACACACTCTGTATAACAGCCTGGTATTTATCACCGTGCATAGGTCTGACGTTTGTTTGAAAATAAGAGGAAATGAAAAATAAGAAAAAAAAGGGGGACTAAGGTCGACAGCCCGTGTAGGTATATCACTCTGTTCGAGCACGGTTTCGTTGAAGCAAAAAAAGAGTGGAGCGTGGGGTACGAAGCAGGATTAAAAGAGCTGAGGATCCACGAAACAGCGACGGCCGTGTTCGTGGGATGATCGATCTTGTAAGCCAGCAGGATCTGTCGCGAGCGTTAAATATTTATGCAAATGTAACCACCGCGTTCCTAGTTAATTTCGGGCGTCGAAAAGGTAGCGCGGCCGCTTTCGATCATCAGTCATCCCCCGTGGTAACTATTCCTGGCGGCTAATTCAATTATCACTCGAAAAATCAAACATCTACGCAACCCTTCGACTGTCGTTCGTACCGATAAAGATTTAACAACTATGGAGGATATTACAAAATGAAAAAACATTCTACTTTTTCTCGTATCATTGATTTAGCTTAGACTTGTAAAGTAACAATCTATACTTTCAAGTGGAAAAGGTCAGTAATCAATTTCAAATGTAATTAAATTCAAGCTGTGCAAAATAAAGCTAGTGACTTGGATTTCTTAAAACTGTTTTCATAAATTCTGGATTGTTGACTTTTGAAAATTTGCAAAATTACGTTTAAAAATGTTACAGTAGTGAATTCTTTAATAGTGCCTTCTGCTTTAATCATTACAACTCTTCATTCTCCGAACTTGAGACGTATTTTTGTATAAAGTTGATAACCTTGTAATTAGTGAAAATACTGACTGTTAAAAATATTTTAGGTAACAGTTATGCATACTAATTCAGACCTGAACATTTCAAAAAATTCATGTTTAGAGTATGAACAACTACACGAATGTACACAATGTACTCCATCCATCAAGATACCCTTTTATTTGTTCCATAAAAAGTTCCACACATATCATTTTAATTACCAAAACGTACGACTAGTTTTCTTTCATGCAGTCACGGTTAGATACTTACAATTCTGTTCCATCTAGACTATTATACGTTAAAAACCAACAGGGTCTTGGAAATCAATAAGATACTCTTAAATTATTTTTACCCCAAACGCTTAATCCATAATTAAATACACTTACAATTGTTACTACTTCCATTACACCATACATAATTCAAAATTGATGCAGCATACAGAACACACGAGTACAGACATTCCGAGTAAACGAACCACCCTCGACACTTATTGAATAATACGTTACTAATTTTCTCACGAGGAACCCACCATTTCGCTTTCAATATCCCACCAATCATCGGTTTCGCCGAATTTATTACCGCTGCCTGGAGCGACCTCGCGCGGAGCAATCTCGAAGCTGCTATTTAGGAAAGTTTCATTTTCGCGTGTGAGTCGCGCGTTTCGCAACACGTGGCCCCTGGAGGGTCATTAGTCATCTTTAATTAGCTGACCGGCGTACACTCGAGTTTTACGGACGAAATTTCAGCACGTTGAAAGATTAGCGGGGCCAGTTGACATAATGGACGTCCCTTGTTGAGGGGAATACAATCTGACGACGAAGGTGGATTGCGTTCCATGCGGCGGGATAACTGGACATGTAGAAGCCGTATATTCCGAGGGCATAAATTTTCGAGAGCGAACAGAGCTAGTCAGCCACCGCTCGCGGCTCACAATTCATCGTCGAAAGAATAGAAAGTACAAGTTACACCTTGAGGATTATAAATCCCGCCACGCCGATACGACCTCGCGCGCATGCGCATGCTACCTAACCTAACCTCTAACGCGACGTTGACGTTTCGATTACGATGACGCCTGGAATTCGACTCGTTACGTTTAGACGTTAGATTTTATAATTCAGGAAATACATCGGTACACAAGCCTTTGCGAAAAGATCCTTTCTGTGTGTGCTAAGTTGGTGGAGTTGTTTTCGTAGTTTCGGACGATAGGAGTTTTTCCGATTTTCAGTTTCGAGTGAGCTTTTTTCATGAAAGTAAGTGATTTTAGATATGTAATTACATTTGATAACTTCGTAGATAGTAAAGGCCCGTTTGAATATTTAACTTCTTTTGCTTGATGGACGTTTTGATAGAAGTGTATAATACTATTTATTGACTGATTTGTATGTGATTATTTCTCACAATAAAGTTCGTTCGTAATGATTATTGGTAGAGCTATTAAATGGATTGAAATATAGAAGTATTTTTGATTCCTTACTTTTTTCACATCGACTCTATTATTGAGGAAATTTTACTATATAATTTTAGACCATATGTTTTCTCAACGAGAATGACTAACTAGTATTGCAACCCTAACAAGAATAAATTATTTATACAAACTATACCACAAAAGATTCATTTTATTTCCTGTGAAATGTTTCAAATAATCATGCTACAAATAGGTACAATCTGATTTTAACGAATTAAGTAACAAGAACAATCAGTTTCCCTTTGCTACAAAAGCAAACCTTTCCTTCTAGAAAATTTCATCCCCTTCCAATTTCTAAACTCAATACAATCATTTGTACACGAGTAAAACTTGCATTTTTCTCAATTTTGTATAGGCACAATATTTGCGTTCTAACACGATACTTTTCAACCGACATCGTTTCGCAATACCCATCACCATAACCATAATCTTTTCTTTTTCTTTCTTTTACACCTTTATTACGTGCACAGAATGAAATGTTACCTGTTATCGACACGTATGCGTGTAAAGGTAAGATACAACTGTAGTGTTATACAGCTGATATAAGCTGACCTAACCTTTAATCATAACCTCTCTACCTATTCGTGATCGACAACTTCATGTGCATCGGTCAAAATATTTCACCACAATCTTCGCACATTTCTCCACTTTGTCACTTTGTTCGCGATACGCTTGATCCCAACGCTACTAATTCTGCAGGCCACGGCGAAACGAATCACCTTTCTTTCGTCTATTTCGCCGACTCCGCTAGGCGCCGCTTGCAAAACCAGACCAACGCGCATAAATTATTGCGGCGCTACGGTTCGCAGCGCGGGAGGAAAGTGTAGCGCGGGCTAGTGCGCGAAAGCAACATATAAGTTTGTGGAATACATCCCACGTGCTCCGTGGTACGCTATTTAAAGTTTTTGGCCTACTCACCTATTATATAATCGATCATCCCACGGCCAGTTGAAACCCATCGATCTTTCAGCGACGTGAAATCGCCGTTCGAACACCGTTTTCATCTTTATCGAGCTGATTGAATGCAAATTAGGCGAGTTGGCCGCGATTTCCGCAACTCCACACCGCATAATGTTTAAAAAATGAAAACTTCTAGCCAAAACTATCGAAAAAAACTAAAAAAAATTAAGTAACAAATTTTGCGTAAAGTTGATTTATATTGTCGTTTCAAGAATTTGCTGGATACACCTGTGAACACAGAAGAATTTGATCAAGTTACATTAGAAAGCGTTGTATGAATCTTTCGACGATTTTAGAATTTTATTAATAGAGAAAAATTTATGAATAAAAATGAATTGTCTGTTACATTGGAGTGGAACTTTTTTAAGAGATGTAAGTAAGTTGTCTGACAAGTGAAAGATATGATTTATGGAAAACTATACGCAACGTACAGTGGATTACGAAATGAACTAGCTTTAATAATAAATTGACAGATTATTAAGACAGGAGACAATATCTTTTGATGGTACAATCTGCTTGAAATGTGATATTACGTATCA